TCTGGGCGAAATAAACTTGGAAAAATTCCTCGCTGCAAAAGCGAGAAAGTCCGAGCGCCAGCCTGAGCTCAATTTGCATAATTGTCAAGAGTTTGAATTACTGATTACAACTTGTAAGCTACCAATGTTTAAGGTATAATTTACTTAATTATCCGACAAGATTATTGCAGTTGTGTTGAATCCCTGGTAGGTAAAGCAGCACTGATTCAGCGTTCCCGATTCGGGGCTGTGTGTGAATCCTGCCACCGGTTCCTCGCATCGTTATTATTATTTTTTTAATATTTTTTTTTTAACGAAAATGCCGCCTGTCTAATCTTTCCGCGCAAATTTGGGGCTGGGGAAGCAGGTGGGAGGTGAGACAGGCATTTTCGGACGCCGTGAGCACACTTTCATCTAAGCCTAGAAAACACTTCCCTGCCAAATTGCTACCTTTCTGCAGCCATTTGATCTATGCAGTTATGTGTGTCAGACAAAATGAACATCGCTTTCAAAAAGCAACGACTTCTCCCAGTGTTTTAAGGTGCATCCGGATCGCTGCTCATTTACATGAGAGGAGCGAGTGTGGGTTTATTGTGGCAGGGACAAAAGGTGACCCTGGACGGTGCTGGCTGCGGAGATGCCGGTGCCCAGGGACGAGCCGCCCAAGAGCTGTTATTAAAGGCCCGAGTAGAACCACGTCTCGTGGCCCTTCAGAAACTGGAAGGGCTGTTGCCCCTCTCCAAGAGAGAGTATTACACACATACACACACACAAAAAAAAAAAAAAAAAAAAAAAAAAAAAAAAGCCCCCCCAAAAAAAAAAAAAAAAAGAAAAGAAAAAAAACGCCACCTCCATCCGACTAAATGAATGATCTAAAAATAAACCCGAGGAGGCCGGGGGTGCTGGAGGTGTTATCTGCCTTATCGAGCTCGCAGGTGCTGATTTGCAGCAGTTGCATCCAGCCCAGCAGCAGCAGGGACTCCGCATTATCATTTTTGGTGGAGTCTCCATTTAATTATTTAATTTTTTTTTTTTTTTTAAACGACGGTGTTTTTCTTCCAGGGATGTTTCTTTGAAATGCAGTTCGCGACGATGATTAGCGAGTGTGCTTGCGCTGCTCCTGGCGTCGTTAGGACTAGGAATCTAAATAATAAAAGACAGGGGGAGCTTAAAGTTCATTTGTATTAAAGGGACAAGATGGATTTTAAAAGAAACGGGGAAGGGAACCGTCGAGCTTCCCAGGTTTGGGTTAAGCTCTTTTTCCTTCCAAAGAGACCCTGCACTGTAGCAACGTTGGTCATTTTTATCATAAGTTCAGAAGCCAGGTTTTCTTTCTGCTCAGAAACGTCGCACAGAGAGGCGACCGGGATTTTCTCATTCTTTACAATTGTCAAGGTCTGAACACCTCCGTTTTGTTTCTTTTGGTGGCCAAAATCACGAAGATTAATCCACTTTCTTATCATTTGTTGTGTCATATAAATAATATTTATAATTAGCGGCATCTAAGAGGATGAGGGATTTATAAGAAATTACCTACACAAGGCGACGGAAAGAAGCGCTTGGCTTTCTAGAAAACGAACCGAGGAAGCCGAGAAGAGGCTAAATACGGGGAAGTTTGAGACAAACTTTCCCGGGCATCCACTTGCTCCTCGGTCTCTTCTCGCAGCACCGGCAGCTGCCAGGGACCGGCGCAGGGGTCCCGGCTCCGCGGGGAGGCAACGGCGGGCAGGGCAAGGGCAGGGGCAGGGGCGGGCAGGGCAAAGG